CTTCTTCCGAACCTCCCTCCGCCTTCTTACGGACCTCCCTCCCCCTTCGAAAAGTTCCGAACCTCGCTCCCCCTTTTTTTCCCGACCTTCCCCCCGCTTCTTCCGAACCTATCCCATTCGTCTTCGAAACCGACCTCCTCGACAGTCCGAATAATCCGAACATCCAAACATAAAGTAAGTACATAATGTGCTCGAAAGTTTGCAAATGAACGAAAACGAACCACGACTCTGAAAGCAAAGGAATGCACATAAAATGAAGTTTAATGAACCAAGAATCCGAAAGTGAACAAATGAACGTATCCAAAGTTCCGAAGAAGTCGAAGTTCCAAAGGTGAACAACTAGATACTCTTGTCCAAAATTTTGCAAACAAATGAAAAGTTCTGAAAACAAACCATGATTCTCTAGGGTCTCCGCCCATACAATCGAAGACGAAGTAAGAACACTGAAAAGAATAACCACAAAGCAAGTTTATGAAAGGGGGAGGAGTTAATGAAAGGGGGAGGTTCGAGATTAGGGGGAGGGAGGTCCAGAACACGTGAAAGAATCCGATAGAATTTCATGAACATGGATCGGATTCCCTCCCCTGTTTCAAACCTCCCTCCCCCTTCTTCCGAACCTCCCTCTCCGTTCTTTCGAACCTCCCTCCCCTTGTTCAGAACCTCCCTCCCCTTTTCTTCCGATCCTCCTTACCCCATATTCTGAACCTCCCTCCCATGCTCCAAAGATTTCAAAGTTCCAAACGTGCAAATGAATCCTAAAGATCGAAAACGAACCATCCAATCTCCATTCACAAATAATAAAAAAGATTCGAAGTTCGAACCGTAAGCCTTCTTCCTGTTCCAAACCTCCCTCCCCTTGTTCCGGAGCTCCCCCCTCTCGTTGTTCTGAACCTCCCCTTGTTTCACCCCTCCCCCTCCCCCTCCTGGCTCCGAACCTCCCCCCTCTCATTGTTCCGAACCTCCCGCTTATTGTTGTTTGAACCACCACTCTCTGCCCAATTGATCGAAATGGAATGACAAATGGAGGATATGGCGATGCATCTGTCCATTTTCTACTAGCAGATGATTCAGTCTCAAGCAGAGGAGCGGAAACACTGAATGGAACAGTCACGTCAAAATGAGCGGTACAAGTAAAGAGAGAGAGAGAGAGAGAGAGAGAGAGAGAGAGAGAGAGAGAGAGAGAGAGAGAGAGAGAGAGAGAGAGAGAGAGAGAGAGAGGAGA